ATATGCATACATTGTGGTTTGATTAAATCAAACTAATTAATCCTTTACTTCACATATTTCTTATTATTTGGTGGTGAGAGCATTTAAAATTATTCTCTCAGCAATTTTAAGTGTATAATATATTGTTATAGACTCTTGTAACCACATGGTAAAATAGAACTTACTCCTAGAACTTACTCTAGAACTTACTCCTCCTAATGACTCCTGAGGTTCCTAATGACACCTTATTCTCCTCCCCCATTTTCAGTCCCTAGTAATTTGCATTCTTCTCCCTGCTTCTGTAAGTTTGACTTTTTTAGATTCCACATAGAAGTGAGTTCATACAGTATTTGTCTTTCTATGCCAGGCTGATTTCAATTAACATAATGTCCTCCAGATTCACCCATGTTCTTGCAAATGACAGGATTTTCTTATTTTTAAGGCTGAATAGTATTCCATTGTGTATATGTGCCATAATTTCTTTATCCATTCATCTATCTATGGACATTTAAACAGTTATCCTGTGTTGACTATTGTGAATAATGCTCATTAAACATGGGAGTACAGATACATTTTTGTCATACTGATTCCACTTCCTTTGGTTATACATTCATTAGTGAAATTGCTGCATTGGATAGTGCCAATTAAATTTTTGAGAAACCTCTGTACTGTTTTCCGTAGCAGCTGTACTAATTTATACTCCCAGCAACAGTATGCAAGGCTTTCCTTTTCTCCACATACTCACCAACACTTATTACCTTTTGCCATTTTGATGAAAACCATTTTAATGGGTGTGATGTAATATCTCTTTGTGGTTAATTTGCATTGCCATGAGGATTCTTTTCTTGTGATATTTTCATCTTGCTTGGTCACCAAGGTAATGATGGCCTCATAGAATGACAGAGGAAATGTTCCCTATTTTTTAAAAAATGTTTTCAGAATTCACCACTGAAGCTTACCATTCCTGTGTTCATATTCTTTGGGAGGTTATTTTTTATTCAATCTCATCTCTTATTGGGTGACTGTTCAGATTTTCTACTTTTCTTGATTCATTATTTATAGTTGTGTATTTCTAAGAATTTGTATATTTCATCTAGATTATCTAATTTATTGGTGTACAGTTCATGGTAGTCTATTATCTTTTTTTATTACTGCATGACTGATAGTAATATTTCCATTTTTATCTCTTGTTATAGTGATTTCAGTGTCTTATCTTTGTCATAGTCATTTTACAAAGGTTTATCATTTTTGTTGATCTCAAAGCATCGCCTTTTGGTTTTGCTGATTTCTCTATTGTTTTTCTATTATCTATTTCACTTATCTCCTCTCTAAATCTTATTATTTCCTTCCTTCTAGCTTTGCATTTAGTTTGTACTTCTTTCTAGTCTCTTAAGGTATAAAATTATTTTATTGATCTGAGATCTTGATCTTTATTTATTTTTAACATAGACACTTATAGCCCCAAATTTCCGTATGAGTATTGCTTTTGATAACTCCCACAAATTTTGGTTTTTTGTGTTTTCATTGTCACTTATCTCAAAGTATTTTATATTTCCTCTTATATGTCTTCTTTAATCTACTAATTGTATAAGAGTATGTTCTTTAATTTCCACATATATGTGAATTTTCAAAATTTGGGAAGGTTTTGACCATATTTCTTAAAATGTTGTTTCTGTCCTTTTCTTTCTCTCTTCTCTCATTCTGGCATTTCCACTATGAATATTTTGGTATGCTTAATGGTTTCCAACAGCATCTGTATTTCAAGGTAGGGCCCAAAAGTAGTAATTAAGGTTATATAAGGTCATAAGTGTGGGGCTTTAATCTAATAGAGCTGATATTTTAAAAGAAGAAGATATACCAGATCTCTCTCTCTGTCTCTCTCTCTGTCTCTCTCTCTGTCTCTCTCTCTCTCTCTCTCTCTCTCTCTCTGTGTGTGTCTCTCTCTCTCCACCATGTGAGGACACATTGAGAAGGTGGCCATCTGCAAGTCAGACAGAAAGCCTTCTCCAGGAACCAATTTGTTCAACCGCTTAATCTTGGGATTTTAAGACTCCAAAACTATGAGAAAATAAAGTTCTGCTGTTTAAGACACCATTCTATTTTGCTTGACATGTATGACTACATGTTCATCACACAGGTCATGCTGGGATGGGGAGGGCTCCTTCCATGTGATCATTAAAAGACACAAGCTAATGGAGTCTTCACTATCAATAGCTGCACCAGCTGGAACATTAAGCCTCCTCGGTTTTCACGGCAGGAGAAGAGACAACTGAAATGTTGTATATGTGCTTCAACCCACCCAAAGTCATTCTTCCCACAGTTTGTTGACTAGAATTAGTGTATGTCTCTGCTGAGTTACAATGGAACTGCCACACATGGGGAAGTAGACAGAAATTGTGAGCAATATTTTTATAAACCCTGCTACATCAAGGTTGTCAAATGATAAAATAGTACTATGGAACACCTGATATGTGCTAGAAATTATATATACATCATCTGATAATCCTGTAAGGATGACAGCATATTATTTTCTCCCTCATACAGAGTTTTAAATTTGAAGGGATTAAATAAGTTAGCTGAATTTGAGACCAAGTCACCTGAGTACACAGAAAAAATTTGTAACCACTATACATGCCTCACTGAGGAAGCTGTGCTAAGTCTCCTTGGGAGTGTGAATACAGAGGTGATTGTGAAATATACACTAAAAGTGTATACCTTACCACTGGTAAATGATACATTAATTAGAAGAGTAAAAAAACAACAACAAGCAACATAAAAGCATGTGTGCATACTCAACATATCCAGCTAAATTACTCACAGACAGTTTAATTGCTTTTTTCATAGGAAAGTGGGGTGAGTTTTGGTTATTATCTGGAGTACTTTCATTTTAGTCTAAAAAAACCCTATAAGACTGTCTTGCAGGGCAAATTTATCATTGATCAACTCTCTCAACTTTCATTAATACGGGAAAGTCTTATTTTGTCCACCATATTTGAAGGTTACTTCTGTTGGACACAGAGTTCTTAGTTGACAGGGAGTTTTTTTCAATACTTTATGTCATCTTGCTACCTGTGGAGTCCATGGTCTCAGGCAAGAAACCATTTATTGCTGTCATTGAGAATTCATTGTATGTGATAAGTTGCTTATCTCTTAAAGATTTCATGATTGTTTGACTTATAGTTTGATTATAACATGTGTAAGGATTTCTTCATGTTAATCCTTCTTGATTTTTGTGAGGTTTTTGGAAAGAAAGATTTATGTATTTTATCAAATTTTGAAAATTTTTGGCTATAGTTCTTCAAATATTTCTGATGGCCTTTTCCTTCTTTCACCTCTCATTCTTGCTTGTTCTTGTATTGATACACTTGATAGCATGCAATAGATCTCGTAAGCTCCTTTCAGTTTTCCTTATTCTATTTTCTCCTCCTAGGACTGGATTATTACAATTGACTTGTCTTCAAATTCACTGATTATTTCCTCTTCCCTCTCAAATAATTTTAAAAACTCTCTGGTGAATTTTTTATTTTACTTATTTTACTTTTTAACTCCAGAAATTCTATCTGGTTCCTTTTTATAATTTCTATCTCTTTATTGATATTCACTATATTTTGAAACATCATTGTCCTGGTTTTCTTTAGTCCCTTATTCATTTTTTTCATATACTCTTTGAGTGTATTTAAGGCATTTTATTTAAAACTTTTGTCTTCTATGTATAATGTTTGCGCTTCCTCAGGCCACTTTCTGTTAATTTCCTTTTTCCTGTAAATGGGATATAGTTTCTTCATCCTTTGCATCACTTAATATTTACTGAAAATTAGACATTTTTAATATCGTAGTGTTATAATTCTGGAAGTCAAATTATTCCCCCTTCACATGTTTCTTTTCTTGTCTTGCTTTCTCTGTGTAAGTTTGTTTATTTAGTAAATTTCTAAAATATTTTTAAGAATGTGTTCCTTGTCATATGTGGTCTCTCATGTCTGTGTTTATTTACCTGTGGTCACCTAGCAGTTTGACAAATACATTTTTAAACATCATGTTATGCCACCTTTTTCTTGATTTAGCATTCACTAAGATTCTATAAATCTTTGACTGTTTTCCAGAGTTCTAACAAAGTTGATTCTGACAGCTTGTAGTTGCTTTTTCAGGACTCACAGTCCCTTGAAATATTCTAATCTACCATTTTCCTGCCTCTGCTGTATATGGAACCAGTAGCTGCATTTAGAGCCTGCCAAATAATCCAGATTAACCTCAGATGTCACTATCCTTAATTTGATCACAACTTCAAAGCCATTGTCATATAAGGTAAAATTTACTACTTCCAGGTATTAGAATTTGACATTTTAGGGGACATTATTTAGATGCTACAGATCTGCAGTTTCTTTCTTATGCTACTATACGTCCATTCTGCAGGTTGTCTGGCTATGTAGAGGACTCTGTGTGGTCACTCAAAAACACCTGCTGATGAAGGCATCACAATTTATAGCTATACCTTCTGGGACAGTAAGCCTATTGATTATTATATAAGCAGAGAAGATAAGGGAGAATAGTGTGTATGCTTCAACCAATATTACAATACTTTCCACAGTTCATTATCTAGAACTAGCATATGTCTTACCTAGCTGAAATGGAACAGGCATATGTGGAGAAGCAGGAGGATTGTTTGGGTAGCAATATTTTTGTGACTCATGAAATATTAAATTTTATAAGTAATAAATATTAATATTTAACCGATAGAGTACCTGATACCTGAAATGGGATAGAAATTGTGCTATGCTTTTTATATATGTCATGTACTTATCTTCTTAAAAATCTTATGAAGATGACAAGATATCTTCTTCCTTATAGAAGAGAAGCTAAAGTTTAAAGAGGCTAAATCCCTTACCCAAATTTGAGATGAAGCAGCGTTGGTGCACAAAACAAACATTTAACCATGACACTTGCCTGTACTGAAAAACTGATAACTGATAATTCTGCTTGGGAGAGTGCATTCAGAAGCAACTATGCAAATGAAGGAACTGATCTATCTCTTTTGTTGGAAAAAAGCATTCCCAGGCTAGAACTGAAATGGTAAGGTGAGTGCTTAAAAAAATACTTGCTAATGAGACTTGTTGGGATATCTTAGAGAAAAATAAAATCAAAATTAAATTAAATTTTATAAACTTTAAAATATCAAATGCCAATAAAGAAATGAAACAGTTTGAATAAAATAGTTTGATGGGAATTAAAATTGTACAGTTTCTTCAGAAAACAGTTTGGCAGTTTTTTTATTCAAGTAAACATATATTTACCATATGACAAATCAATCTAACTTCTACATATTTACTCAAATGACATGAAAACCTATATTCACCCAGAAAGCTTTAAGCAAATGTTTAGATCAGCTTCATTCTTAATCAGCGAACACTAAAATCAACATGAATGTTCCTCAGCTGCAGAATGGGAAATATAACTTGTGATGTTTACATAATGCAATACTTTTCTACAATAGAAAAGATTCCACCTTTACATAGGTAATAATATATATGACCCTCAAATCTAAGTGAAAGATACAGACTTAAAGACTGCATATTCTAGGATTATATTTGAGGATATTCTAGCAGACACAAAATGATTTAGGCAAAAATAGTTTACTTGTTGCCAGGGAAGTGGGTGAGAGAAAAGTAGGGTCAGATAAAATTTTTTAGGTGATTCAGGTGATATATATATATTATATATATATATATACACACATATATATATATACACACATATATATATATCATATATATACGTAGAGTGATTTCATGATATATATTTCACAAAATTCTTAGAACTATATACTAAAAAGTGTGTGTATTACTGTATGTAAATTATGCATTAATTAGAAAATAAAAAAACAGAAACAACAAGTAATACAAAAATATGTGTGCACATTAAAAATAACAAGCTTGACCCCCACAGGCTTTTTAATTGCTTCTTGTCTAGTAAAATAAGATGAGGCTCTGTGTATACTCTCACAGGAGAAATCTCTAGAGCTCTCTGCATCGTTATAATTCTCTCCAGATCTCCATATATGAGCCTCTGAAATCCCAATATGACTCAACATGACGTTGTTTTGGAGCAATCACACTGTTGCCAAGTCTTTTTGGTTATCATTTATTCATCTGAATGATATTGTTGTTAGTCCACACATGACTTCTTATCTGAGGATTTGTTACGAGCTTTCAACCATGGTCAACCACTGTATCCCAAGATAAAAATTATACTGACTTTCAAATGATAACCCCTTAGTGAGATGTTTTATATACCTCCCATATTGGTTTTCATAAATACAGTTCTGTGAATTATGTGATAGGGGTAATTATAACATGGTTATTTTATAAATAAGCAGGAGGTAAGTAACTTCTCCAAGTGCAAAGAAAGAGAATTAATGTTAGATTCAGAATTTGATCCACGTTAATGTTCTTTCCTCCATTCTTTTCTAAGATGCTGGGAACTTTTTGCCCACTATCCAAGAGTGAGCTTCTCTAATCATACTTATGCAATATTTCAGGGCCAATTTTCTGATTTCAGACCCACTATTCTGCATTGACTGTTCCTCCTCTTCTAAAAATAAGGTAAGCTTTTATATTGCATAAACATTTTTAGTGAGAAGTGTAATTCATGCAAAAGAAGTTGGACAGATATACCTACTACAAGTAATTTGAAAACAGAAATAGATGTTTTCAATATTTTTTCTAAAACACCGAGGTGGTCCTGGGGTAAAACTGTCAAAATGTCTTTCATAAGGAGGTCCGTGATTCTTACGAAACATCATGTTTCCTACCCCCAAAATACGAACAAAAAGTATGATAGATAATACTCTGATTGATTAGGTAGTAGTTTCATTCTTTTTGCTATATAATTGTTTCCCATTAGTGGTGAAAAAGCAAACAAACAAAAAAAGAAGAGTGAAGTATTCCTTCTTTGAAGTACAAAAGGGTCTTGAATTAACAAACACTGAACTGCATTTAACCATTTCTCCATAATCTTGTTCTTATTATTACTAGAACTTCTATATATCTTGACAGTGATGTGGCTAAAAGCTTAGAATTTTAAGTTGAATATGGGTTTAAGTATAGAATCTTAAGTCTTTCTCATACTAGCTATATAATTTTGGAGTATCACCATAATTTCAAATTCTCAATTTTCTTAATAATAGAGTAAGAATAATAGTACTACCTGTCTTACACACACACAAATATACACACCCAATTTATATATAAAGTTCTTGTCATTGGTTATGGAACATAGAATAAATTAAAAGTGATCATGTTTATTAAGGTTGGCAAATATAATGTCTTCATAGGGAAGTCTTCAGAAGTGAAGTTGCCAAAGATTCAGGAGGAAGATGGTGGGGGATAGTAGTTAGTATTGAATGCATACCCTTCCAAAGGCTTCAATCCAGATACAAACATTTAAAATACTATTCATAAACAAGAACAGATTGAAATAGAATATTTTACAACATGGAACTTGCCACCAAATCACATCTATGAGCTAAAGACAGCCATAAACTAATAACTTTCAACCTTTGATCTGTTTGATTTGGCTATGGAATCACATTAATGAGAGAAAGAATGAGTTTAAGAAAAAGGAACTGTTTTACCCAAGCTAAAATATGGATTTCAAAGAATCAATTAAGGAAAAGAATGGCTCACAAGAAATTGCCAGAGCAGCCAATCATATGCTTGGAGAGAGAACAGACTGAGAATCAATCACTGGAGAACATGGAAAGTCGCAGTGGCCCTAGTATTGAGGAAAAGCAAATTGGAGATGGAAACCTCCCACCTGAAGCCCTGCAGATCATCATCCATCTTTATCAAACCAACATAAAGACCATCATCCCATCCTAATAATAATATTATAGCTATCACTCATCATGCTGCACTTAAGACCTAGCATTTTATTGTTTTTTAATACATTACCTTATTTAATACTCACAATAATACTTCAAAGTAGGTCTTATTACTGTTTCCATTTTGCACATAGAAATATGATATTTAGGGTAGTCAGGTTAGGACCAATGACTCCAAGGTGGTAAATGGTAGGACTGATATGGATGTCTTTTAAGAACCCAAGCTCTATATCTGCTATAGCTGATGATGTGGATTTTTTGAGAACTGCCTCTGCTAATTGAACTTCCTCCTACCATTCTAGTTATCTCACCACATCTACTATGCATGCATTACTCACTTGCTTAACTGTGAACCTGGAACACTGAGTTTGCACCAAAGGAGACAATGAGTAATTGTAAATTGAGTTAAATTCAATTTGATTTAGGTTGGGATTATACCATTAGACTTAAGAAGCATTCGGCATGAGTGCAAAGGTTGGCATGGGTCCAAAGCATGGCTTTCCATTTAAGACTTGTTAAATGTGAATAAATTACTCAATCTCTACTGCTTTATAGCTTAAATGAATGCAACAGCTATTCAAACTCATACTATTGCTGAAAATAAACAATGAGTATACAACTAAAATGCCTAGAGAAGCTGTTGGTAAATGAGCAACATATAAATGTCAGCTTTGACTGTACTCAGGAAAAGTGAATTGGCAGATGGATGTACCTTGGTAAGTCATCTTGATCATGTTATTAAATTTTCTACATCGCAGTATGAAAATTTATAAAATTTAATAATTGGGTAGGTAATCTATTAATATTCTTCAGATTCAACAGTATGTAACTCTATATATAATTAATGCACTGAAATTGGTAGTCAAGGCCATGCTTTTTCCAGAAAAATCTTGATGTACAAGCTATTGCTGCAATGAAAAAAATACATATTGTATTAATACTTACACTTCTCAATTTCAATTCAATTTATTTATCACTTTTTTTCTCGTTGCTACCAGCATCTTGTGATTCTCACATAACACGGATGGAGAACAAGACAGAAGTGACACAGTTCATCCTCCTGGGACTAACCAATGCCCCAGAACTACAGGTTCCCCTCTTTATAATGTTCTTCCTCATCTACATCATCACTGTCATTGGAAACCTGGGCATGACTGTATTTATCTTCTTGGACTCTCGTCTCCACACTCCCATGTACTTTTTCCTTGGTAACCTGTCTCTGGTGGACTTTTGTTACTCTTCAGCTGTTACTCCCACAGTCATGGCTGGGCTTCTTATAGGAGACAAGGTCATCTCCTACAACGCATGTGCTGCTCAGATGTTCTTTTTTGTAGCTTTTGCCACTGTGGAAAATTACCTGTTGGCATCAATGGCCTATGACCGCTATGCAGCAGTGTGTAAACCTCTACATTACACCACCACCATGACGACGAGTGTGTGTGTATGTTTGGCCATAGGCTCCTATGTCTGTGGTTTCTTGAATGCCTCCATCCACATTGGGGACACGTTCAGTCTCTCTTTCTGTAAGTCCAATGTGGTCCATCACTTTTTCTGCGACATTCCAGCAGTGATGATTCTCTCTTGCTCTGATAGATATATTAGTGAGCTGGTTCTTGTTTATGTTGTGAGCTTCAATATCTTCTTTGCTCTCCTGGTTATCTTGATATCCTACCTATTCATTTTTATCACCATCCTAAAGATGCACTCAGGTGCAGGCCATCAGAAGGCTTTGTCTACCTGTGCTTCCCACTTCACTGCAGTCTCCATCTTCTATGGGACTATTATCTTCATGTACTTACAGCCCAGCTCCAGTCACTCCATGGACACTGACAAGATGGCATCTGTGTTCTATACCATGGTCATCCCCATGCTGAATCCTGTGGTCTACAGCCTGAGAAACAAGGAGGTGAAGAGTGCATTCAAGAAAGTTGTCGAGAAAGCAAAATTGTCTCTAGGCTTGTGAGTTTAATAGTGTAGGATGTACTGTAATTTAGTTCCATTTCTCTCAGATCTTATCCATAGCCCAAATCACATTTTAAGGTCCACAATGAAGTTAAATATCTGAAGTGATACTCTTACCTTTTCAAAAGTCTATTGTCTAGAGAAAAGACTTTCTTTTCATTATGCCCAGAAACATAATACCTAAACAAGAATGGCTAAGAGATCTTGGGGCTAGCTTGTGAAAAACCTTATTAAAGATACTGATGTAGTCATTTATTCTATTATGATACATATTTGTTTTCACCACTAGTCAAGGCAAGCGCATGTGAAACAGGAGCAAAAACAATCCCATAAACAGAAGTGCATGAAGGTGTCCCATGAGGACACACACACGAACATGGGAAATTTGCCAAGATTAAATATAACGTGGAAAGTCCAAATGGTTAATTTTATGTGTCGATTTGACTAGGGGAAGAGATAGCAAGAGATCTGGCAAAACATTATTCTGAGTGTGTCTGTGAGGGTGTTTCCAGAAGAGACTAATATTTTAATCAGTAGACTGAGTAAAGAATATCTCCCCTCGCCAGTGTGGGTGGCCACCATCCAATCCATTGAGGGCTTGCTTAGATAGAACAAAAAGGTGGAAAAAGGACAAATTCTCTCTTTTTGAGAGAGCTTTGAGAGAGCTGGGACATCCATCTTCTCTGTTCTAAGACATTGCAGCTTCTGGTTCTCAGGCCTTCAGTCGTCAGGGCCTATGCCAGTGTCCCCACTCCTCCTCCACCTTCCTCAGGCCTTTGAACTCAGATTGAATAATGCCATTGGCTTTCTTGCTTCCCAAGTTCACAGATGGCATATTGTGGGACTTGTTGGCCTCTACAATCACACAAGCCAATTCCCGTAATAAATCTCCTATTATTTATCTCTAATTCTGTTTCTACTAATTACAGATAATTCTGTAATTAGTAGAATTAATTACTACTAATTCTGTTTCTTTGGAGAACCCTAACCAATACACTCATATTCATATTTAATAATAACAACTTAAATTCTTCATTTGGGTATGAGAATATACATTTATGTTTAATATTTTTGTTTCTTCAGTTGGACACTGTTCTAAGAGTCTTGATTTTAGGAAAAAAAGAGATATACTATTAAATGAAAGTATGTGCTTTCCTTTGGCACATTTTATCCAGAATGCATAAATATAACATCTCATATGAATTAATATTTGTGTCTTGACTGAGTCATTTCATAGATCCAACATGTTCATACTTTAATTTTTAAAAAGATAAATTACTAAGAGTACCAGAAAAATGGAGTAAAAGTTAAAACATTGTAAATTTCTTTGTATATTACTATTAACCTTCACACTGTTTAAAAAGTGTACTGAGAAACAAAAATATATATATATATTTGTCTCTCTGAATGCTTTGAAAAGGTTAACACTGCTCTTTCATTCTTATATGATTTGAGATGCATCATCTCTTGTCACTTTCCCTGTTTTTTACTCCTCTTTATTAACACTGATCTTCTTGTTATTTTTTCAAAACTCCAACCATGCTCCAGCCCCAAGGCCTTCGTACTTGCTGTTCCTTGTGTGGAATGCTCCTTCCCTTTATTCAGGTCTTTGCTCAAATGTTACCCTGTCATAGAGTCCTTCCCTGACCACCTGTATAAAATAATCACTCCCCCCTCCCCGTGTGCGCTGCTCTCTCACCTTGCATTGCCCTTCATAGTCCTTATCCACACTCTGCTACTGTGTATTTGCTCAGTTGTGTGTTGTCTATTCCACTCCAGCTAGAAGGTAAATGCCATAAGAACAGTGAATTACCTGTTTTGTTCACGAAAATGATCCGCAATACCTAAATGAGAGTGTTTCATAGGAGATTCTCAATAAATATTTGTAAAATGAATGAATAAAATTGTATCAATGTCTTGAATCTTTGAGTGATTGGTGATTATACTAAATAATCTGTAACATAAACCTTCTAGGTAGACATATAGTACATTTCAAAGGTAGAGTTAATCTTCTGCTCTGCTGTTTTATCTATATTGTTGCTTAGTGCTTATACGCCCCACTTTTGGACACAATAGTTTCCTGGAAATCCCCTCATCAAGTGTATCATCTGAAGCCAGCTCATAATTTTTATTTGGATGTCATATTTCATTTAGTGACAAAGAACATATCAAGTAAACATTGTTTAGTGAATCATAAAAAGACATCAAATGTGACATTATTTGAGGTTTAATATTTAGTTATATTTGAAAAATTACTTCATACACATAAATTATGTGACTAACTGAAATGATTCTAAATGTCCATATAGAATGGCAAACATAAAATAAATTCAATATGCTATCATAATGCACAATCGTTATACATCATGATTCCCACAACTTTTTAATGTTGCCTTATATTGCCTAAAAGAACTATGATTAATTTAAGGTTGAGAGATTATCATGGATTATCTGTGTGAGCCCTAAAGGCAATCCCATGTATCATTATAAAGAGACAGAGAGATAGGACCATGGACAGAAGAGGAGTCTACAACGTGACCACTGAAGCAGAGATTGAAGTGATACGACCAGAGCCACGGAATACCTACAGCCACCATAAAATGGAAGAGGCAAGAAATAGAATCTCCCTTACAGCCTATAAAATAGGAACCATGCCTTGCTAATTTCAAATCTTTCCCTGGATTTCAGGCCAGGGGAACCCTGATTTTGGACTCCTGGCCTCCAAACAGTGAAATAATAAATATGTGTTGTGTTAAGTTTCCTAGTATGCATTGTTTTGTTATAGCAGCCATACAAAACCAACACAAAAATCCAATACAAATTCTTGTCTGGTTTCCCCTAAGTCATAATCTTATATTACCATGGTACACTTGCCAAAATTACAAAACTATGATTGACTCATGTTATTTTCTCATCTTAAGACTTTGTTCAGATTTCCTTAGGATTTTTTTTCACTAATATTCTTCTTTTTCTCTTCTTACATTTAGTTGTCATATCTCCTTTATCTCTTTTGCTCATAGCAGGTTGTCTGTCTTTCCTGCATTTAGTGGCCTTGAAAATTTTGAGGAGTACTGGTGAGATATTTCATAGAATGTCTAAAATTGAAATTGTGATTTTCTCATGATTTTATTGAGACTGTAAGTGTTGCAAGTAATACCAGTGATAGTAATTGCTCTTCTTATCACATTATATCAAAGATATACACTAGCAACATGACTTATAACTCATGGTATTAACATGATTATACAGGTCCTAGATAAATTTTCTTAATTTATCCATGCAGACTTACCTTTTTTCTCCTTTCTATACTGTATTCTTTAGAAACAAGTCATTAATTCCACCTCACACTCCAGCAGTTGGGGAACAGCACCTGGTAAGGTCAGTGTTTAAATAACTTATTTGGAGTTTTTTTGTAAGCAGATTTATCTCTTCTCTCTCATGTATTTATTCACAAACATTATTTGCATTAGTGTGTTCTCATTTATTTATTTTATAATTCAATATCAGGTTTCTTATATTTTGGTCTAATTATTCCAACTTTCACCTTTTGAAGCTCTTTCAGTTAGCTTTTATGTCCCTTTGACATAGTTCATTCTTTGTTTTTTGTTTGTTTGGTTTGGTTTCTTGTTTTTTTTTTTTTTAAGTATATAATTATTATAGTTTTAGGGCACTACATAGCGCTCCAGGGTCATCTTGTATTTTCCTCACCACTGCCACAGAACCAACTATTTCTACAAAGAGCCTTCCTTTATTCTGATAGAGAATGGTGTTTTAAATCCAAGGTTTGGATCTTGGGTGTGCCTGCTGGCACTGCTGTTTCACTTCTTCTAGGGCTTTTTATCAAGAGAGCTAGGAAGTATGTATTTATGTTCCTGTGAGCTGCCATCCCACCTGGTCCTGAAGGGAGTAAACACCCACAGCCCTGACACCCATGACTACTGCCTAGATAGCCATGCCCAGCTCCCCCTGCCACTGTAGCAGGGAGACCTGGGCAGAGCAATCTCCCACAATGCCAGCTTGTGTGGAAAGGTACTTTCCCAGCTCTCCACCCAAGCTTCCAACAGCAGCCTAGAGCACAACTCACCCCTCCACAAGAAGATCCTCCAGCACTGGCGTGGACTGTGACAATCAGAGGAAGGACACAACACAAAACAGCTTCATTACAGGCTCTCAGTGCGTCTGCCCCTCTCCTTTCTGGTACATCTTCCAGAGGAGGTCACAAAAGTACCATCTAGGAACCTCTCCCTCTTCTCCCTAAGTCAGAGAGTTCCCAACAAAGGAGTAAAAATGAACCTCAAATCTATCTAGCTGGAGCAGAGAGATGAGGTTTCAGATGAGAAGAAACCAGCAAAAGAATTCTAGCAACATGAAAAAAACAAGTTAGACTAATACCACCAACGGATCACAAAAGATCTACAGCAATCGACCTCAACCAAAAGGAAACTGTCAAAATGTCAGAAAGGAAATTCAGAATATAAGATGGCAAATAAGATGAGTGGAATTGAAAATAAAGTTGAAAACCAACACAAAGAAGCCAAAATAATATTTTGGGACATGAATGAAAAAAATGAAAATGTAGCTAAAGAGCTAGACAATATAAGGATATAACAGAACTTAAGAAAAGAGAGAGTCACTTAGGAAATTTTTTAAGCTGTCACATCAGACCAAGCAGAAAAAGGAATCTCAGAGCTTGAAGATAAGGCTATCAAACTAAGCCAAGCAGTCAAAGATGCAGAAGAAAGAATAAGGAAGAATAAATCGACAACACAGAGGCATATGGGCCTATGTAAAGAAAACCAATATGTGAATTATAGGTTTCTCTGAGAAAGAAGAATAAAAAGAAGAAAAAGCATGGAAATCTATTTGAGGAAATTATTGAGGAAAACTTCCCTGGTATCACCAGAGATTCAGATGTCCAGATACGAGATGGTCATCAAACACTGGGAAGATTTATAGCAAATAGGACATCTCCAAGACACATAGTTGTCAACCTAGCCAAAGTTAAAAGGAAAGGAAAAATTTTACAAGCTGCAAGATGAAAACAACAACTAACTTACAAAGGAAAACTCATCAGGTTAACTTTAGACTTGTCAGCAGAGACCTTACAAGCCAGAGGAGATTGGGGCCACATTTTGAGTCTTCTTAAACAGAACAA